TTTTTTTTTTTTTCCTTTTTTTGAAAAGCAACGAAGAATATTATTAAGCTTAAGTAAGAAAAAAGAAAGAGGACATGATGCTCTACCACATTATTAATAATATTATATGCTCTTTTTCTTTTTGTCTTTTGAATTTATTATTTTTTAAACACTTCACACTTTATTCTTTAAGCAATGAGAAACCAACTCCTAAAATAATCTTAGTGAGTTTGAAAATTGAATTATCATTCAAATGGTCACATTACATTTCATTTTTTTTTTAGGGTCTAGCTTTCCTCCGGTCCGTGATCAGATTGGAGGGTATTGTTGGGCTCGTGAGGGCCCACCACGGATCCTGTTTCGATAATCTGAACCGTCAATATGTAGAACTCGTCAAGTACTATATGACTATACAAAATCACGTTAATCGGATATCGATAGTTATGTGATCAAATCCGTTTTTTATTAAAAAAAAATGGATGGTGAAAAAATAAACGGTTGACAAAAATCTGATCCGATGAGATAGCTATTGATATCCGATCAATGTGATTTTTTATAAGCATATATTGCTTGACGAATTCTACGCATTGAACGGTTCAGATTATTGAAACGGGACCCGTGGTGTGCCCTCACGAGCCCAACAATATCCTTTAGTCTGATCACGGATTATAAGTATTAAAGTTTGCAACTAGATTAAAAAATAACTCCACTCTTTTCTTCTCCTTATATTTATTTTTATTTTGACCTACCTATACGGAGCCCATTTTTTTTTGAAATGTAAAATATTTATAAGGTATTTTCAAACACGACTTCAAAGTTAAAGTACTATTTTAAAAAAATATCATTTTTTTTTTATAATAAATTAGTTTAGAAAAAAGGACATTATGAAACAACTTGGGATATAAGTTTACAACTTGAATTTAAAAATTTTATTTAAAAAAAAAAATTGAAGTTCGGTAAGAAACTCTAGATATTAAGTCATATTTGTTTGTTTCATTTTTTTTTTTGGGAGTAAATTACACTAACATGTCTTACAATTTAGAAAATATACATAGAGTTTTACAAGTTTAACATAATTTTGTTTGATACTTTTAAAGTTCACATAATATTTGTCTTATTTTCATCAATAATTTGTTAGTCGTTTAATGAAAAAATAATATTATAATTTATTTTACTTTGAAATGTGTATTTTATCTTATTCTCTTTTGTATAAGTTTCCGGCACTTTAGCTTTACCAAAAAGAAGGATGATATAATTATACCAAATTTGTAAAACTGATTATATATATATATATATGTATATAAATCTCAGAGGTCATCATTCTAATTTACATGGCATCATTTTTTAATTAGAAAAGTTGTACAAAAAAAAAATAAATAAATAAATTATACCCTGCTTACTTAGAGAACAGAGAGAAGCATATACCCTGCTTGCTAGAGAGGGAGGGAGGGAGGGAAGCATATACCCTGCTTGCTTTATACAAAAAGTTTGTCCAGAATCATATACCCTGCTTGCTAGGTAGGGAGGACCATCCAAAATCATATTCTTCATTCAATTACCTACCTACCAAACTTGTTCCAAAAATTTGCTCTCAACTCTCTCTCTCTCTCTCTCTCTCTCTCATATTGCTTTGTTTCATACATTCAATTCTGGGCTCTTTCACAACAAAGACGAGTAGACATGGATGTGTTGGGGATCTTTATCTCTCCATTGCTTCAATCTGTGATTGACAAGTTGTTGTCCCCTGATTTAATCAACTTGGCGCGTCATGAGGGTGTCAGCACTTCCATCAAGAAGCTGAAGAAGTCATTCGAAGATATAAACGATGTTCTTGCTGATGCAGAGGACAAGCAGATATCTGACAAGGCTGTCAATAGGTGGCTGAAAGAGCTCCAGCATTTGGCTTACGATGCGGACGATGTGCTGGATGAGTTTTCTACTGAAGTTCTACGCAAGAAGCTGATCAGGGCAGAGACTGATGCGGTACGACGATTCCTCCTTTCTACTTGTTGCACTGGTTTTACTCCAAGTGCGATTTCATTCGATTTCGCAATTGGGTCCAAGATAAAGAAGATCAATGGTCAGTTGCAAGATGCTACTACAAGAATTAAGGAACTTGGTTTGGTGAAAAAGGCTATTGGGGGGACTAATAGGCCTGCGTGGCCGAGACGAGAAACTACATATTTGCTGGATGATCCTTTTGTTTGTGGCAGAGATGAAGATAAAAAATGGATTGTTGAATTGCTTCTTAGAGATACACCAACTCAAAACAAAGTTGATGTCATTCCCATCACCGGCATGGGTGGGATTGGCAAGACTACTCTGGCTCAACTCATTTATGATGATGATGGCGTCAAAATCCATTTCGATCTAAAAGCATGGGTTTGTGTATCTGACGAGTTTGATGTTAAGAAAATAACAAAGGCAATTCTGGAGTCATTCACTCTCCAGTCATGTGATTTGGCAGAGTTAACTGCCCTTCAACGTAAACTTGAGGTCATGCTGGCAGGAAAAAAGTTTTTGCTCGTCTTAGATGATGTGTGGAACCATAGAGATGAAGAATGGAGTTCACTACAATCTCCATTGCGAGTTGGAGCACATGGAAGTAAAATCATTGTCACAACGCGAATCACAGCTGTTGCGGAAAAGGTGATGACGATTAAATATCACAATTTACCAAGCTTATCACCTGATGTTTGCTGGTTAATATTTTCCCGTCATGCGACCACTCCTAACTTTTGCCCACTCCACCCTCTTTTTCATATATTATTTAATTTATATACTATATTTGAAGATTTAGGTGCCTCTACTAAACTTTGTTTAGGCTAACTGATCTAGTCGCGTCCCTCATTATTTAAATTGTGTCAATTATTGGTTCCTAACTTGCTATGGAAGTAGTCATTTGATCCTCAAGTTATAATTTCGCCTTGTCACATATACGTTTCCCTCCACGCATAATATAATTGATTTCAATTTAAACTCTATAGGGGAGTATTGTTGGCGAGAACTAAAAAGGAAGTGTTACAATTAACCACAAAATTACTATATGATGTCTATCAATGAAAAGGTGGATGTTGATCTATCGTTAGAATATCTTTGCTTCACTACCCAAAGATACAAAAAGATCTATTTATTTTTTCAATCAAAGTGATTGAGAAGTCTACTTCATAGATAGTATCACTAATGAGCAACTACCATTTTTGTATTGATTAGAACAATCGATAGAATTGTCCGATTATTCACGTGTTGTTACACAAATAATACCACTTGGATTGTGCTGCTCAATCCTAAAGGTTTTTTATTTATCACGAAGGAGAGTAATACACACTAGGAATTTATGAGAAGTATGGAGCTTGAGAGTGAAACTTTTATAACCTTTAGAGTCATCGATTTCAGAATTGTATGAGTAATACACATTTATGAGGTCGCTCGATTTAGTTAGTTTTGATAATACATTTGCTCTGTTTGACACAGGTGGTATTTTTGTGTGATATGGATGAAACGGGTTGTAAGTTTTTTTAATTATATTTATTTTAATATTACTCGTGTTTTTTTATTTTTTAAATGTGGGTGTTTTTGGATAGTTTTTTTTTGCTTCTATGAAGAGCACAGGTTGATTCCTGATCCTGTATTTGTTCTTTTCTACCAAGGGAAATTAACCTATTTTAATGAAAGTTGGAAAAAATAATATTTACATTTAGGTAGACCAATATTGTCCAATAATGAAAGCAACATTTAATATAACCTTATATAACTCTCACTAAACAAGTCTGAATATCAATTCTATATATATGTGTACTACCAAGCTGTTAATAAGTTACTTTCCACTTTGAATCACTGCACTGCTTACTCTTTTCAATTTAAAACCAAAAAAAAATTAATCCTCATTAAAACACAGAAAAACTTAATTATCTTTCTAAAGACAATTATTATAAGTAGTACCCCATCTCTCACTAATCTATATACACACATTGAGAAATAGTTCTCGAGTACCAATGTATAGGTAGGGACAAGGAATAAGTTATTATCTTTAATTCCTTCACTTGCAGGGATTTCATATGCATATCCAAATAATATCGACCAATTTCTTTAACTATTGTAACTATAGATTCCTAAACCAAAGATCATCATAATACATACTAGTTCATTTTTCATTTTTTGTATTAATACTCATCAAATTCCTATAGGCTTGAGATTTGTTCTTCTTATGGAGTTAAATTTTTGGTCCACCTAGAGGCATAGATTGTATTAGGGGTATTCAATTTACTCAAAAAAAGGTTGGTATGTCTTTGCGAGATGCAAAAATTATTTGAGGGAAGTATATATATTGCACGCAACAAAAAGGCTCTTAAGCTGCCGTATGGAACCAAGAACCGTCACCCATTAGCAGATGTAGAATACTTAGAAGCCACTCGAACATTACAGTGGACATCTCCTTCTATATAGACGAAGTGTCTTAACTCCTTAATGTATTTTTGTGTAATATTTCTGGATACTGATGGGTGCTTAATACTGAGTTTGTGGGATGATAGGAGTGTCTCCACTGCACGCCCTAGTTTTGTCCAATGTGATAAGTGATAGAGGGATTCGAACCAGTAGAGAATGTTAGAGTATTCTCCAACGGGTTGTGCGCGGAAACTTCTTCATTAGGTCCTTTAATCTTTTTCTAGATGACGCTCCTATGTTTCATATGGGTGAACTCGGAAAGGCAATTATAATGGAAGCCGGTTCTGGAAAATCGATAGAAAATCTATTGTTTCACTCCATATGCCTATTCTTCTCGGGATCCTTGTTTGGTGCGTTAGAGAAATAAGTTTATTTTGTTGATTTTAAAGGGCTGACTATGTAACACAGACAGTAACATTCATAGCTCAAATCTTCTTGTGAAGAGCTTTAATATAACACCATCTTACAACTCTACTGTCATAGGATCTGCGATTTGTAATAATAAAATTGTATAGATATATGTACTATGATCTATGCAAACTTGCGCTCTATTAATCTCTTAATAACAATAACACGAGCATCAACCAAAACTCAGCTACGACGCAGATTACCAATGTCGAGCATACTCAGACTATCATTTTGTCATAGAACACTAAGGTTCGACCTGGTCCACGAGGCAAAGCACTGAGCAAATCGGTAGCGGTTCCGCGTGGCGAGGTGATTTGCTTCAACTACAGATCACAATACCACGTGGTGTCAAGATTATGCTTATAGGAGAATAGCTTCTCCATTGTTGGGCCCATAAGCTTAAAAGCGTGCTGGTTAAGCCTATTTCATTGGGCTAAAGGCACCAGCATCTGTTTAAGCAGCTCCATAATATTTCATGGATAGTCCAGTATTTTTTTTTTTAGGTATCATACTCTTGCAACGGCAAGGCATCCTCCTGATTGGAAGCATAGTGGCTATTATTAATGATATGAACTAATTAATAAGAGATTTTGATTTTCTTTGTATTGTTCAAAAGAAAATTGGACTCCATGTACCTCATATCTAGACAAGTAATGGCAAACTCACGCTAATATATATATAAAAATATATATATATATATCATATTATTATGATCACTAAAAAGGCATGGTGCGCACATCAAAGTAATGGGTTTCAATGTTGGAGTTTTTAATGTAGGGAGTGATATGTATTGCAATATACATAAATTAATTCTGGAGGTTCCTAAAAAATCGAATTTTGCATCCAAAAAATCTTGATTAAATTTTATGGATTTTTTTTGGAACAATTTGATTTTTTTAATCAATTTTTGGGTTTTGTTTATTTGATTTTTTATTTCAAATTATAAGAATTTGATATCAATAATTAAAATGTGTTATGATTATTGTGATGGTTAGTGATGCTGGTGGTTTGGATTTTATGTGTCTAAGCTAACGTTAACATAAGGTAATCTCAATTGGTTAAAATTTACTAGCGTTATGGTTTTGAAAAATAAAAACTTGTAAATGAAATTATGGCAAAATACAATAACATAAAAATTGGTCAGATGAAATGAGTAACTTTGCCCTCCTATACAAAAAGCAACAATACCTATAAACTTACCCCTTATCTACCGTAGAATTACTAGAAAAAGAAATCAACTGGTTATATTCATTTCCATATGTAGATCAACTAACACTTTTCAATTCAATCTCTCCTACAACAAACACATTTGGTAAAATTCGGGGGTCGTAAGGGTGGGTTCTTAGCATTTTTTCACATCAAAAAGGGTAGCAGTTCACACCAAACATACTCTTATCTCACACAAGGTCGCCATGCGCCATATATTGCTTCTCTGGCCTTCACTTAGTCAGGAAATTGTGGTCATGAAAGGAATTAGATGCCCACACACCATAGAAGATTCTACATTGTGCCTCTAATGGCTGGTATGATGTCCTTTGGAGTGAAGTGTTAGTAAGTTCCGCATGCAATCTGGTACCGTACGGCAGGCAGTCTGGGGCGGCCATCCCATAGGACCTACCACCATCCTCCGCTTGTTGAAATACCAAACTCCAATAGAAGGCCTCTAGCAATCCTCTACAACTCAACCTCCAGAGTGATGTCGAGCACCGCGATGAAGCACATCACAATATCGATGCCTAAAACACCTTGCCCACAATGCCCAACGTCACAAACAAGATGAGTATGAAAGTTGAAATCTCATAGCATATGAATGAAAGCAACAGAGTCATGATTTGAAGAGGGAATTAACCTCATTGTCTGATCGAGGTCACTAGTTGAAATATTATCTAAACTTTGTAAAAGCCGACAACCCTGGGGCCTGGCGGCAGATGCTAACAGAATATTGTCGGGACCCAAGGACAACGTGCTAAGTCCATCTCTTGAGTGTCAGGGGCATTCGCCCTGAAAATACCAAAGCTCTATATCTAACATTTCCAGAGAGTTGAATTAGTCAAAGAAGTGAAGGCAGAAAATTGTAAGAAATACAATGCATAAATGACATGTGCAAGTGTTAGAATTGACATAAAATAGTAAATTGTACCTTTCATCAATTTCAATGACCTTCAAGGTCATCTCTCAGTTGCACATGACAACACATAGGGTTTCTATAGAGGGTGACTAGAGCAGCGCCACCTCCAATCGTAGTCGTCAATGTGAACATGGTCCACCACTAAGTAGTGGAGATGTATCTTTGTTTAGAGACGACTCCACATAGTAACGATGGTTCTACGCCAGTCAAACTATCAAAAAAAAATTATTTATGTAATCAAATAATTTTGTTTGATATACATTAAGGGGGATGCACCAAAAAATCCCAAATTAAAAACTTAATACACTGTTTAGCTCTAAAAAGTTTTCTATAGATCTGAAAGGTCCCATTACAATGTTTCAAGACATCATATTAATGTTTCAAACATCATATTAATGTTTCGAACATTAGATTTTCAAACATCTAATGTTCATTTTCAAGATTTCCCAATAATGTTTGAAAATTATAGGATGAATTTCAAATATTAGATTCAACATCTAATGTCAATCAGATTTTCAATAAAATTTTTGAAAATTATAGAATGAAACATGCAAGATTCATTACAATCATGAACATCATGATGATGTATAAATGGGACTAAATGGAGCATAAGAAAACTTTTTAAGACTAACATGGTTCACTTTTGCAGCAAACTTAGGATTTATGG